AATAAAAAGACAACACATCTTTTAAGAAACATAGTAAAAAAAATGTTAAGTGAAATTAGTCTTATCCAGAGAGTGGGACACAAGGGAAGGAAAGGCATTTGACCTTTATAGTGACATTTGGCCAAACATATGACATTTGCCCCTGGTGAGAACATTTAACTTCTGTACTTTACCAAAGAATGTTTATACCATATGGTTATTCCAGATTTTACTAACAACTAACTGTACCTCAAGCAACTTTTACTGGTGTAATGGTTACAAAGCTATTCTCACAGATAATTATTCATGCAAAATGTGTTACTCCAAATTTGTGGCCTTGTGTCAAAACCAAGCTATGCTAAGTAAATATCAATAGCTTTACAATTTACAGTTAGTAAAAGAAAAAAAAAAAGAAAATTTAACAAAATGCAGCAAATGAAAAATATGGTACATATAACAGAACTTATTTTTTTCCTTAAAAATATGTGAGAATCAGAGATTTTAGAAGTACATTGTCTCTAATCTCCAGAGGATAAGAAAGACTGACCAAGAGTCAAAATTACTCTTCACAGAACAAACTGAACACATATACTACTTTTATAATTTGATAGGACAAGTTTCTCCAAAGAACTATGTAAATCATATCAGAAACAGTTGTTAGATATCAATTTTACAAGTACAATGAAGTAGTTACAGGAAGAAAAGATGGTTTATAGAAAGAGAGATGCAATTAGGAGTCAAGTTATACCATTCAAGCTTGGAAATATTTTCTCAGTAGATAAAGGAGGTACAGTGAGAATAAACAGTAAAGACTTGTCCAAGACCCAAAGCTTAATGTGGTTAGTTACAAAAAAAAAAAAAAAAAAGACTCATTGACCTTATCAGTCTAAGAACAAATAAATAAAAGGACTTAATGCTCATCATTTTATCAGTAAAGAAATTGAGATATAGTCATAGAATGAAAAACTTCACAGAAAAAAGGATTTAAATATACAATGCCAGTACTATGGATAGGATGTTGATTAGTAAAAGCTCAAGCTGTAAAACCAAGAAGAAAAGAGAGTTGTAGCCCACAAAATGATGTTTATATGCCAGTAAATATAGTCTATTATTTTAATTAAATTGCATATAGAATTCAACCAGATAAATTTATCCACATGATCAGAAAAAGAAAAACAAGAAACAAGACAAGCCTTTCCAAGAAGGAATCCTGTCACCTGCTAAACTAGAAATATAGAATTTCTATCAACATGAAACAAAATAGTACAGACTTAATTAGGCTTCACTAATGATGTGAACTTTTTAAACAAATCTGTTAAGCAAAGCAGAAGGAACTGAGTTAATATTACAAACAAACATCTTATCTTATGTCAAAGATTAAGAAAAAAAAAAAAAAATTGTCTAAAAACAGGAACTGGTACTTCCTGGCCTGGATGTCAACTGTAGAATTTTTATCATGAGATATTTTTTTTTCATTAAAAAGATACCCTTAGAAACAGACATTACTATAAAATTCAATAATTTTGTTTTTTTAATAATTTAAAATTCATGAAAAGAAACATGAAGGTCAAGTTTGTCAAAAATGCTCTATATAAATGTAAGCAAATGTTTTTTAATCATCAATCAATGTAGAATAAACATTTTAAAACTTTGGCTTATAAAATTGTTAGCATGATTTCCTCTTGAAATAACAAAGAACATTGGTAATATGAAAATAAGTTAATGACTTTTATACAATTTTGTGAACTACCGATTTTTGTCTTTATTTAAGGATATTATTTAACTTAAAATAGGTACCTCCACTAATTTGGTATACCTAAGGTTTAAATGAATTTTCATAAATGAAAAATCTTTCTTGAAGCTTTCATTTTAGCTTTATTTGAAAGCTAAATGATTTAATTTACTATTTCCAGTAAGCAAAATACTCTATAGTGTATTTCAAACAGAAATTCTATTTGGTTGGTTTCATTTTTTTTGGCTAAAGATATCTGATGAATGCCCTTTTTAGCCATTCTGTCCTCACAATGAATTTTTCTTTATTAAAAAAATCTTCCAAAAATAAAATATACTTGTCTGAAACTTTGAGAAATATTAGCTGATTTAAATTATAATTAATCTGATTTGAAAAAAATATTTATTTTAAGTTTATGATAACAGAGAATATAGATTTTGTCAAATGATTTATGAGGTGTTGACAGTGTTATTATTGTTCTGCAGAGACTTTATCTGTTAAAACAAAGTAAGAAAATGATAGATGGACACTGTTCATATAATTTTTAAATACTCAGTAATCTTAAAAATGTTGGAAATATTCTCCTTAATCTAATTTTAGCAATGTTGACTTCAAATTTACTATCATGATTGATCTTATTTTCTGATACTGTTGTGTATGGTCACCCATACTTTCAAAATGGGCATGTTTATGCACATAAAAAAAAAAAATTATTTTAAAAATATACGGGTGTGATGATTTGTATCAAGTGTTTCAATTTTTGCTTAGTAAATATAGTCTAATAATTTAATGATCTAATGAGGATGGTGTTTCGAAGAATTTTTATAACATTTTTGAAAGTTTACTAATTATAATAATTAAAAAAAAAATGAAAACAATTCTTGTAAAAATTCATTACTTATCGCCAAAATTTTTTTTCTTAAGACTATATAATTAAATTAATATATATTATTTATAAAAATAATTAAAAGCTTATCTAATTAAATAATTAGATAGTTTTGTTTTACGATTTGGAACAGGTTTTGGGGAAAGGAGTAGTTGTTTGAAAAAAAAAAAAATTGTAATTACATTCTCCAAGGAGTCCTGCTTTTAATTAAAAAAAGAATTTGGAGTATGAAATTTAATTTCTACAAATTTCATGAAATTAAGTAAGTGGGAGGTTAACAGATGTAAAAAAAAAAAAAAATATTTTTAACAAGATTTTCTAAAATTAAAAATTTCAAAAATAAATTCATTCATTTGTGAATAAGCATTGAAAGTTTCATTAAAATTTGACAATTATTTGATTGTGCAAGAATTTCCAATTTAATGTGTCATTTTACCAGAAAAAAAAGGTGCAAAAATATCCATAACTATCTCTGTTGTACCACTGATGCATAAAACAAAAAACAAGATTTTTAACCCAGATTTTGAATGTATCAGAAAGGAGTATAAAATCTTAAAAAAATATTTAAAAATTACTTTGGTCTTTCCTCTTAATAAAAGCATAAACATTTTCACAATAAAACTTTGGTTTTATTAAGTTTAGGGACTTTTTTTCATCATGGTATGGTCTTTTTTCAGCAAATTAGTGGCAGTACCCAACATAAAATATATCATTTTTTTAAAAGTTTTATAATAAAATTACACACACACACACATATATATATATAGCCTGAAGATGGAGTTCAAGCATGAAACAGACTGTTCTACTCAGTGTTGACTTCAGTGTCCATTTTCATATCTACACAGGCTCTATCTTTGATATTGAGCACTTTTACCCATATATATGCAGCATGCCTTAAAATTATATATATATATATATATATATATATATATATATATATATATATATATATATATATATATACATACACACACACAACACACACACACACACAATGCAGTAAAGTTTTGTAATAATTGTACATTTAAATTAACATAAGTAACTTTTGGTGGGGGGAAAAATAATCTTTGCTGAGATTTCACTAACAAGTAACAGTTCTTTGGATGCTTTGTTGCACATAAAATGCTGTTCTTATTATAATCATTGCTAAAAAGGAAATAATAATTTTAAAAATATTTAGGACTTTACAGTTCAAAGAATTATTACCATGGCATTTCATGAGCACACAAATATTAAATGTATTTGAATTTTGATTTTGTTGATAAATAATAAATGTATTTTAATGAATAATAATCTCTGATTCTTTGTCGTTTCTTTTCCTATCTATCGATGCTTTACTGATCCAACATTCTTCTTTTAATACACAAACATACAATGAAAATACTGGATTGATTCATGAATTGACTGAAACTTTCATGCTTTCCTTCTGTTAAACAATCATTTGTTTTTTCATTAATAAAATTTAAAATTACTGGTATACACTGATGTCTCTTTACATATGATTATATTTTATTATATTTCCCTCTATGACCTGACAATTCTGACAAAAGAAATTCTACATCAACATTTGGCACAAGTTTATAAATAAGTTTATTCAAATTAGAACAAGAATCATTCAGAAAGAAAATATCAATGTTCAGAACAGGACATGAAGATGTTTCTAAAATTTCTGAATATAAAAGAATTCATATTTTGCAATAAGGAAATTAATTACTAAATTGATCTGCAAAAGTAAATAATTTTTAAATATAATCTAAATATAATTCAACTAAAAAATTAACTTAAATTTTTGTATCTCAAGAACATGTATTAATGCCATAGTTTGTTTTTAATGAACTTTACACAAAATTGTCAGTGGATTGTTCCATGTGCTTTTATTAAATCATTTTAACAAAAGAGAAAACAAATTTAAATTAAAAAAAAGTTTAATACTAAAAATTGATGCTTAATATAATAAAAAATATTATTAATGTGTTTAATATTCTAGGTTTATTTTAAAGTTGAAGTCAGAATGACTTGGCTCCAGTTCCGCAAACCAGCTTCCTATAAGGAGGTGCTGAAAAGATCTTGGCCTTACTTCTCAAAATATGATCAAACATGAGATTTTTGGGGGGTGGGATGGGGGAATAACTTTTCGGTATCAACTTAAACAATTTTGACATAAATAGTGAATAATGCAGAAAGGGGCCCATTTGCAGGGTTCGTTACACAAGGCAAACTGAAGATATTAGCAGAGAACATTTTGGTAATAATAGATACAAGATGAAATCACTATTGGTAATTTGTCAATGACCAAGTGCTAAAGAGAGTGAATTTTCTATTAAATCTCATTTAAAAAAATGTGTTTTTAAAAATTCACTTTTAATATTAAGTTTTAGTTTGTAGAATTAAAGTTTTACTTACCAGCAAGAGAAGACAAACTCCCTCTACGAGACAGACCGAAGTAGACACTCGGGGAGCTTTGACCTCCCATTGAGTGTGGGCCAGGGCTGACGGTACTGCTACCCATGTGATGGGCAACGGTCAACTGCTGCCGGAGCATGTTCAGGCTACCTGGTGAAGGGGGACTGAAAAATAGAAAATCAATTTATGTAATAGATCGTAAAATACAATACTGCAGAATATTTCAAGTCAGTATTAAATTTTGGTGGGGGTGGTGGGGGGAGACGAAATGAACTGAAGATTATTTTGTCTAAACTGGGTTGAACTTCAATAGCAAATTTTCATTTTAAATGTTATCAAACAAACAAGCCCAGGTCAAACTTATGAATATAATTTGTTTAAAAAGTAGAGTTTCAGAATATATATCATTTGTAACTGTCTCTACCGAATCAGTAATTAAAAAGAAAAAAATACTATAAACATACATTTTTTTTTTGTTTCAGTCAGTGAAATACAGTATATACTAAACCTGTCAAAAAATACATATTTTAAAAAAGTAATTCTCTAACTGACATTAAAATCACAAAGGAATGCATTGATGCAAGCAGATTTAACTATGTCTACACATGTAGACATATACACTGATGCTTTGGGTAAATTTTTGCAAAGTTATACTTTTTAAATATCAAAATAAAAATGTTAATCTTCACTTAAACTATTAGCTTTCTAAAACTGCTGGTTAAGTTCCTTCAATATTCCCAAACTTTCTTTCCAAAGATATTTTTAAGAAAATGTTTAACTGAGGAAATTGTTTTGAATATTAAAGTCTATCTGAAAACCATAGTGGATGTCTATGGATATTATATTTACTAAATTCTTTTTTCCTTTCCCTCTCGGCACTCTTAGGATTCATTTGGTGCCAAGAAACAGGATTTTCAGAAAATGTTGCATTTGTTCACAATAAGTGTTTTATTACATACAAGACGTTTTGGCATACATTCTATACCAACCAATGAAATGTATTGTTTTAATTTCTAATTGCAAGTATATAATTTCATACAACTACTGATATGAAAACAGTGATAGGGCATATTATAAAGATTTTATCAAATAATGACTCTAGGGTCAGGTATGATTTGATGGGTGGTGATATATCTGTTGCATCTATTTACATAATGTGCAATAATTGATTTTATAACATCTTTTACTAGACTTCTAAAAATATGTTTACAGATCATGACAGCTATTAGGGAAATGGGATTTAATATACTTTAATTTTTTAAAAAAAATTATTCAGTATTATTATTGTTTAGGTAATAAGCATTATAACAGCACAAATAGATGTATTGTGGAAAAAGGAATTTGACAATATATGCATTTTTTATGTATTTATGTTATTTTATAACTTTTATCAAAAATGCATTCTTATACATGTCGTTATGGATAATATTACTAATTAATTTAACTAATTTTTTTTTTAATTAATAACTATTTGCACCGAGTTGTTGACATTAATATCTATCTGCTGATATGTTAAAATTCGGGAATAATGCAATAATAAAAATTTCATCTTTGATAGATGTTGCGATCTATTAAAAATGGAAAGAAATATAAGACAGACACTATATTAGAAAAAAAAATATAAAAATTAATTCCTTCAAGTATTCTTTCTTGTAAAGAATTGCATACAAAATATTAAAGTAATTAAATTTTGATGACACTGCAGTCATGGAATATGGCAAACATACATCTGCATTTGATTTTTAAGGTTTATGCAATAGGAAAATAAAAATAAAAGAAAAAATACATTCAAGAGGAATATTAAATGACTTGATGACAGTAAAAACAACAAATCTCTGAAAATCATTTTCATGTGACAACTGTGAAGAGACTTTTCTTATAGAGGGTTTAAGACATGCTGCGAAGTCAATAGGACACAGTAAAATACTTTGAAAGGGGAAAAAAAGAAAAAGTCATTCTATAGGTGGGGGTGGGGGGTTGTCTGCAAAGACTGCATGAAGAGGAGGCGTTGTCATCATAAACATTAACTGCTAACACTTTAAAAAGATCAGCACACATAAGGTTTTTATTTAGAGAAAACCAAGTAAAAACATCAAGTAAAACAAAAAAGAAAATATTGTTAAGAGACAGGCTGATGTAGAAAGAAACTTTAGTTTTATCCTTACGTTAATAACAAGACAGAAAAGTAACAACAGGTAGAGACACGAAAAAAGGACCAAAGTAAGTGTCAACTTGAATAAAGTGAAGGTGACATTTAAATGATATCTTTATAGTTACAATTAATATCTCATTAATATAAAAATTAAACAAATTATTACTTTTTTCTAAGATTGAATTAAAAATTATCAATGTTTTGATGATTCGTTTGGAACCGAATACTCTCTTGTTTTTCAGCTTCCTTCAATGTCAGTAGGAACAAAAGTTTTTGAATAGAGGTCAGGGGTTCTTTTAATTTGACAAAAATATTTGTCTCTGTTAAGGCTAAGCAAATATCAACAAATAAGAAATAATAACAATCCCAAGAGCACTACAATAACTGTAATGATTGTAATAACAATAATAATGAGGATATTAATGGTACTTACTGTTACGAAACTATCACCAGTAAGTTGCAAACAGAATTAAATTATGATAAAAAATGACTCATTCTTTCTCTTCTCTTTGTCAATTCATTTAGAGAATTAAAGTGACAAGATAATAGGCCGATAAGACAGGTAAATTTCAGTTTTGATTGCTACCATTTTGCAGTTCTATCCACTTTTGTTGTTTAAATGAGGGCAGCTAACACGTAACTACTTCAAGTTGTTCTGTTTGGGACATAATGCAAATTTACTGGGATAAAATGTTCTCCCCATTTGAGTTAACTCTTCACTTAAATCGACAATTATATGTGTGTGTGTGTACACACAAATTGCATTAAGTTTTGATACATCCCAAGTTAACCTATGTGAGAGTGCAGTGCTTGTGTGACCAATGTAAAAATTTAAAGTTGTTTGTGAGTATTTGTATTGGAGATGCGATCTCCCAAAAGACATGAGACTTCATTAACAACATTTTTACCATGGAAACACAGATAGACACAGTATCCTTTTTTTAACATTAATAATTATAAAAAATTTAAAACCACTGCTTGTTGATCTAATTTCAATTACTTATAAGTAGTTTCTCTGTCTTATTCTCATTCTTTACAGATGGTTACACAGGTATTTTCTTCTATATCGCTCATACAAGATATTTATCAAATTGTATGAATTCTGCATGCACAAGCCAAGAAGCAAACAGGGTATGTAGTGTTTAAGGAGAGAATGTAGTAAGGGCTTTAGATGTTCTGATGTGTATGTGTATATATATATATATATATATATATATATATATATATATATATATATATAAAAATATATATAGAAGTTAATGATTTAAATTTAAACTTCTAAATCTGATTTAGAAGTGAATGATTTAAATTTAAACTTATATCTGTTTTCTGTATGAATGATTCATATAATATAAATTGAACTATATATATATATAATATATATATATATATAATTTTTTTATGATTATTATTACTATTTTTTTAGTGGGTATGCATGTGAGTTGATATCACTGTTTTTTAAAAATTAATAACAAGCAATTTAGATCAAGAAGTCCAACTAAAGGATTGTATATATATATATATATATATATATATATATATATATATATATATATATATATATATGTGTGTGTGTGTGTGTGTGTTTTTTTCTTATTACTATAAACATTATTTTTAGTAGAGATTTAAATTCTAAATTCACCAATCTAAAAGCAATATTTAGTCAAATAAATCCTGCTTAATAATATTGATCACTCACAATTCTTGACAATGACAGTGATAGTCAAAAGTACTTGAATGTAACAAAAAAAATTTTGGACAATTTATTAATGAGCTTAATCCCAATATAAAATACTTCAAAGACATAATTGGAAAGACATAACTTGTCAGTGTTATTTAATAAAAGTATGTACATCAATAAGTCAGTAGCTGATTGATGAAATGAGGATTTATTTTGCAAAACATATTTCTCTTTCTTTTACTGAATTTAATTCTCTGGGTAATATTAATTACATAGATTGAACAATGAATGTTTCAAATTGAGCTAACAACTACTTAACAGGCTAAGAACTTTTTTGATGTACCCATATATATATATATATATATATAATTTAAATTAAAAAACAGACAATCCTAAGGATCCATTGATTATATTTTATTTCTCCAGAAAATTGATTTTTTTTCTGTTTCCTCAGATCACACTTCCAGGCATAAAAATATATATGTATATATAAGAAGATAAAAAGATAGATGAAAGAAAAAGTAAGTCTATTGATTATGAAAATGAAAAAAAAAAGTATAAATGATTTTACCTGTTTTTTTAAAAATATAGGTGTGTGTGTGTGTGTGTGTGCACATGCAAAATTTCAGACATAACTAAAATATATATCTATAAATAAAGACAAAAGGAAAACTTTTCTTAGCTGATGTGTTTTATCCTCTGAAGGCAAATATAAGGATTTTATTTTACAACAAGTATTTAAAAACAATAACCCTTATATTAGCCTTAATAAAGTCCATCAGAAAAAGAAACACATCAGCTAAGTTTTCCTTTTATATATATATATATATATATATATATATATATATAGTCATCCCTCAATGCGTTTTCGATTAGTGCAATAAAATTTTTATATACCCATACTTGATTAGTGCAGTAAAAACATTCTTCAGTTTAACCATAGTAATTGAAAATTGATTTTTCTTATAGTTACCAATGTGCACATAAGCTGAAACTAATCAAAGGATTCCCGCATACAGTTTTATTCATTACAGACATATTAAGGATTATTTTTTTATATTCTGCAAGTGCATGAGTTTCTGGTCTGTTAAAAGAGTTTGAAAGAGTGAACACATCTGAAATATTTGTTGTATTTCTGTCACAGAGAAAATTTACAGTTGATGAAAACAGAGTGTAATGAATTAAACAGACAAGTCTTTCTCCAGTCAAACACAAACTCAATTACAGACTGCATCAGTCACTTGTCATGCACTGATATGCATCAAATTACTCTGCTTACCTAACTTTACTAATTCAACAAGAAGAT